CCAAGTAGTCGTCTACATATCCAAAGACTTTGCATACCGGTTCCTCATCCTGGTCGCAGATGGCTAAGACGCATTAGGCTAAGAAAATGTCACATATCATGATAGCCTTTACGTGCAAAAGGAAGGCATTTTTATTGCGTCTTGTGTGTAAAAGCTGATGGGAGCAGTCAAGCAGCGCTGAAAACAAAAAAAGTACGAATTCTGTTCGTCGACTCTTTTGCCAATTAAGCGCAGAGTGCATGCAATGTTTCGCTTTTAGTGTGCGCGTGTGTATTTGTGTAGTGACTTCCAAGCTCCAACTTTGTACAGTGCTCTGACTTTTGCGAATATGAGCCTCAACGCCAAGTAAGCGATAATGGGTCATTCCATGTCAAAGGTCCCAGACGTTGCGCTTAACCACTTCGATTTCTAAAAAAAAAAGAAAAAAAATTCATGGCCTTTTGCCGCAATGTCTGTAGCCATGCCCTAAAATACTTTTGACAAAAAAAAAGTTTAATGGCGGTTTTAACTTTTAAAAATAGCGTAAAACTAGGTATCACTCTATAATTTATGAAAAATCTGCTTTTTTATGAAACACCCAACAATACTTTTTCTTATATCTGCACGGCTTTCGACTTGCAATGTGGTTAGGCTTGTGCAGTTTTGTTTAATTTAAATATATTTTTATTAAGAACACAATTTTTTTTGTGAAAATTTTAACATGTTTGTTATTTTATTAAAAACTAAATAATTGCTCCGGGGACTTAACAGAACTTGTTACCGGCTGCCCTGCAGGTATATAATCTATAAGAAAAGTTTAAACCGCTCAAATACATATCTCGTACTAAAAAAAAAAATCCCGAAGTTGCCAAAAAGTACGTTTTCACGCATAAAGAGCCGTTTATTTCACCCTGAGGTGGTACAAGTAAAAACAAAAGATATAATGGGTATGGAAGAACAATTGATTGTCTTTTGATTCTGAAAGTTTAATCAAATTAATTTTTGTTCAAAGCGAGAAAACAATTTTTGAAGTTGAAGTCTCGTACCACAACCCAGCCTCGTTCTTAACGCCTCTTCGCCACACAACACGCCACCGGTCCAAAGAAAGAACGGAATTTACTGCCGCTTCCCTTTGTCCGTCCTTTCAGCTGCAAGGCAAGAAACGGCGGACATCGTGTTGACAATCAGAGGTGCTGCCAGTGCGTAGCCATAGCAGACCCGTTGTGCCTTTTGTATCCGAGGGCGGCTCCTCACACTCCGAAACGCGATGCCTAATCGACGGGAAGCATCAGCTGACGACGTGGCCGTCCGTCTCCGAGGCGACGTGGACTTCTCCATAAATATATCTTACTTCTCCATGAGAAGAAAGATATATTTAATGAAATGTGGAACATTTTTGCCTAAAAACCACACGGTATTTGGATTGCTATATATAATAAGCATCATAAATATTGGCTTGAAGCAATTTTAAAAAAGGAATATGCAAGAATTGTAGCATTTTGCATAGATTTGTCACAAACTATCTCGTTGCTGCAGGTGACTGTAAAACTTCTTATTGACAGCCTTGTAGGCATACTGCATAAAAGAAGAAAAAAAGTTTCAGGCCGTACAACTTAAAGGGCAACTCCGGTCCATACTTTCGATTTTGCGATTATGGCTGTTTTTAGTGCAGTTAGCGCCCCTGAATTGCAAGGTGTAATTTTTTTTCTCGTTATTCTGCGTAGTTTTAAAAATATCGACGTCTCAAAGTTTTGTTTGGGGCGCGGCCGACGAAACCGAAACTAGCCGCTCGAGGTTCCGGCAACACTGGAAATCAGCCGTTATGTGGACGTGACGCCAAGATCGTTCTCGTTCAGCGAGTACGCAGTCCAAGCGGCACCTACCTCTGTTGCGCTAGCCGTCTAAAGATAGAAGGTAAGCTGATTTTTTTTTTTTAATTCTGTATACGTGGTAGTTATCCAGCATATGTAGCAAGAGTTAGTGCGTATACCCAAAAGCTAGCGACTGGAAAACCCGTCAACTCGTTCGGTGGCGTACTCGGCGGCCGCCGCCGCGCGTGCGCTATGCCGTGCCGTACTCGTTGCTTGTATACCCAAAAGCTAGCAACTGGAAAACGAGTGAATTCGTTCGGTGCCGTACTCTGCAGCTGTCGGCGGCGTGCGTGCGGTCTCCCGCACTCGTCGCTAGGCCTAAATTGTCATCGGGGCTCCGTGGATGGAGCGGCGTTGCTCTACGCCGCGCTGCCAGTGACGTACAGTGCTGGCGCTTTCGCGCGGCGGGTCAGTCCCAGATACGAAGCTTTGAGGCTCTTTGGCGCTTTCCGCGACAACCGCACAGACGTGTGTCAAGCTGTAGACGTCTGTTTTTTTTGTTATTTTTTCCTCAGGCGCGTAAAGGCCGAATTTGTAAGCTACGACACTAATTCACCACATAAGTTCGTCCAAGTAGTGAATCTTTGTACAAATAAAAAATAAAAAAACTTGCAGCACTAAAAAAAAAAAAGTTCTTTGGGCAGTCATTTTCTTCTCAAAGCTAGCAAAAGTGTTTGTGGGTGATAAAGGAAAACAGAAAACGTTAGCAAGGTGAGAACACTTTCTTTCCCTTCCACATTCCCACCCCCACCCACAACAATTTTTTTTATTAGAATACATAGGATTTTAAGTTTTCCTTCGTAACTTCTAACTAAAGCAAGTGTTTTTTTGTTTTTTTTTGCATTTTTAAATATTATATTTACCTTTAGCCGAACTCGGGCAAATTAGGAGTCCTAATTTACAAATCCGAACTTTCGCGATTTCTTTAAAGTCCCTTGTGGTATTCACAAGCGCAATGTTAATTAATACTGCTGCGTAACGGGTTCGAACGATTGGGAGGCGAATGTTTATATCGCATGAGCTTCACGCGCCGGCTGTTCGCTAGTAGTCGTTACGGGCCTGAATACTACGCACGAGATTGCGTAGTAAACAAGCAGTGACGCAAAGCAGAACATTGTTTTCGTTTTCATTACAAACTTCAGTGTTTGGAGCTAGTTAGTGGTTGTACTCTACATGCCCACCATTCCCCATTCAACAGACATTCAATGGAGCGTGAATGCTCAATCTTCAACACTGCACTTGACAATGACTGTTTTATTTATTGATCAGGATACTTTTATCATGTTTACCTTTTCTGTACATGTACGATGGGCAAAGAGCGACGGCACGGCATCCTTTTTAAGCCTCGACGCCTTCGCTGGCAAGCCACATGCAACCAACACCTGTAGGTTTCGTTCGTAACTCTCCGGCGAAATATGATCGGAGCAGAGCTTCGATCTGGGGGTCGACGTCCAAGGCTTTCCAAAGTCCACTCGTCGAACAGCGTTCACCCACACCTTGTCCAGTTTCCGATCCGTTGGAAACTTGTGAAAAAGCACCTCCGGGTTGCGCAGCGGCTTGTTTGAGCAGCCCACAGCGCTTTAAGTTGTACTCGGCATCTTTCGAGGAACAGCTGCGCAGTCTTGGGCGCACCGAGTTGCTCGCTAAAACGGGTCTAGGAGTCCTCACAAGTAAATAAACAAAAAGCTATACCGAAGCTACACGGGCTACAGGTAAAAGCAACGGCTAAACACGCAATTACAAGCCGAAGTAGCGGTAATAGCGGCACAAAAAAGCGCGCGCGACGGCTGCACCGTGCGCCCGTCCGGAACGGAGGAAAAAAAGAGGACGACGTTGACATCACGGCCCAATGTTGCTTTAGCGATCGGCAACCCGCTGGCCGCCCGCTAAGGAGCAGCGGCTCGCGGCGGGTCGCGTTTTTATTATCGGCATTAGTTGAGAAAGCGGCGTCCCACGGACGTGAAATTTTGGCTGGGGTCGTATTTTGTGTCACTAAAGCTATACCAGTAATTTAATTCATTTTGAGTTTTGGCCGGAGTTGCCCTTTAATATTATGTAGAAAAAGAACTAAATTTGTGCGATATTGCGTTTTTCAATTTCAAGAGCCGTTGATTCTGCCTTGAGGTGGCCTCAAAAAAAATACGAAACATGGTGACTTTTACAAAAGAGTTTATTGCATTTTGTTCTTGAAAGTTTAAATAAAATAATTTCGTTTTAAAGAGGAAAAAAAAACATTTTGAAGTTGAGCTCTCGCGACGAAGTCTGGCGTCGTTTCTTGAGCCTCTTCTCTGCACAGCACGCCACCGTCGGGCGTGGCAAAGAGTGCGACGGTGTTACGGTTTACGCACGCAGGTACACAGTAGGACTTCGAGTTGTCGCGTACGTCTTGGTGGGAAGAAGCTTTTAAGTTTTTTCCACTCTTGTTGCTTGATGGATTTTCCTATTTCGACTGTTTTGCGTGGCGGTGTTTTCCTGGGGTCTTCCACCGTCTTGATATCAGCAGATGCTTTGCGCTGCCGAGTCAGAGCATCCACTAGTAAGCGTGCTGTTCCTTACGTACACATCGCAATCACTCTCTATCGTCAACGCCAGGACACTATTTAAACAGCAAAACAAAAGCCCATTGAACAGGCTATCTCAAACGACTAGGCGATGTGGTGTTAATGAATGCGCGCCGTTGGAGGCTCATGCCTCGTTTGCGTTTAAATCGGCTTTGAAACGTCAAATTCTTGCGTCGCTGAATAGTTCCGCTTTTAACCGCAGTATGCGTGACGGAGAAGTCCACGTCAGCTGATGCCGCCCGTCGATTAGGCATCGCGTTTCGGAGTGTGAATTCAGACGTGTTTGTCTTTTGTGGAAGAAGTCGAGCTATCCTTTAGACGTCGGGAAGTGTTGTGTAATATTGATATCGCAGTTAGATATTCATCAGTCAGCCTCCCACTGGCAGGTAGCTATAGAGAGGACAGTGTTGAACTTCATGGGTGATGTTTTTATTTCAGTACCTATCTCGTGTTTTGGCTATGTATATGCGCTCAGTTCGGTCAATCTTGACAGTTACAATGACAACCCATTTCATAAAGACGAACGTTTTTTTTATTTTTTTATTTTTTATTTCTGCAGTTGCGTTCGTCAGCTAATGTGACCCTTGCCCTGGAGTGCTCACGACTTCCGAAGAGAAGTCGCTCCTTCAAAGTAATATTGTCTTCCAGGTGTTATTACAACGAGTCGGGCTCATAATTGTATGTAGCTAGAAAAAGAAACATATATGTAAAATGAAAATATAGAAGGAAAAGAACGCTGATCACGCTAATTGGACGCTAAAACTAGATTAGACAACCCGCACATCTCAGCGTCAAGAAACTAAAGAAGAGCAGGAGACAAGAGAGCCCTGGGACGTCAGAACGCCGAGCTCTGGTTGGAGCGCTTAGTGCGTACACATAAAGCTAGCAGCCTGTCTCCCCACTACGCTCGTCGAACGCGTAAGAACGCGGAACGCCGGCCTCCGGCGTTTAACTTTCGCATTCAAATTCTTTTTTTTTTTTTTTTGACCAGTGAAGTGTAGATAATGGCATAGCCTCCTCTATATTCCAAAGCCTGGCAGTTGGACGACCGAGCCATAGAGTGCCCGGCCGCAGATTTGGAGCGCGAGGATCTGGTAGCACACAGCATCAAAGAGCCATTTCTCGGGAAGGAATGGACGTTCGCGCACAGCTTTTGCAGCGGCGAGAACCCGAAACACACTTGTTCGCTCGGAAGAAGTGTGTTTCGGTTTCTCGCCGCAGCGCGGCGCCAGTCACGTGGCTCTCCTCTCATCCGTTGCCTGCCGTTCCACTTTTTTTTTTCATTTCGGCGGCCACTTTTCGTGGCGATCTGCCAGGCGTTGTGAGTTTATAGGAGGCTATGATAGAGGCGGCCTTTGTTTGTACTGTAGTCGCTGAACGCCTTAGAACTCGTAACACCGGCGTCAGACGCTTGGACCTTGCATTCGAACGCAATTCTCAGGTGCAGAGAATTCAAAGGCAGCTAGTGTTAATTCTACCCTAATTCTTTTCAATAATCAGCTCGAAATTCTCTTTTCATCGCGCGCTCTCGTGTCGAGCTCTTCCTCAGTATTTCGGTGCATTCCGTTTCGTATCGTAATCTTTAATCATATGAATACACAACAGGAACACGTCCTATATCTTGCGGCGGAGCATTTTTAGACGTCTATTATTCTAGTGTAAACAATTATGCATGAGTACACGCCAATAGTTTTAATGCTTATTATTGAAGGATACCTGCAGACAATGGCTACAAACCACACTTTAAAAAAAGCCCCTGCGTCTACGTTCCCGCACAACACTCAGAGAGCCATTCACCGCAACTTAAAGAGAGAGCTCAGCGAATGACGATGCCGAAACTTGTGTCTAGAACAAAAAACGCAGTCAGAGTTGCGACATTAAGCAATGCAAGCGTGACGTTTTGCATTGCTTAATGTCGTAACTCAGAGTGTGTTTTTTTGTCTAAATATTTGTTTCGGCACTGTCATTCGCTGAGCAGCCCCCGTAAGTTGCAGTAAATAACTCTCCGAGTATTGTGCGGGAAAAAAGTCGCACGGACTTTTTTCAGAGTGCACTTTGCTTAGCACAGTTTTCCCTCGTAAGAACTATAGTGGTTTGTCCATAAGTCAGCGCAATAGTCTCGGGAGCGTGAAACAAAAAAGAGCAAAAGCTGCGTCTTATAGCGTCGCCGAGCGCCGTAACCATAGCAACAGTTGCTTGCGTTCTACGGTGGGGTAGCGGCATTCAACCAAGGCGTAGCATCAGAGGTGGTTGTTATCGTTACACCGCTGGGCGGCGCGGCTCGGCGCGATATTGGGGAGTTTTAGCAGACCGTTTCCGCAGCCCGCTAAGCACCCGCATAGCGCTCCGTAACCTGCCACAAGACCTTGAAGAATTCAGACAAGGCTGGCGGCGCGCATGCGCAACTGCGCGCCGCCAGCCTTGTCTGAATTTTTTGCCAGCCTTGTCTGAATTTTTTGCCAGCCTCGTCTGAATTTTTTGCCAGCCTTGTCTGAATTTTTTTTTTTTTTTGTGGATACCATAGCGGAGGAGAAAAACGGTCTGCTAAAACTTCCCGTTTGCTCACATATACTTCACGCTTAAGAAAACGAATGACATGACGCGCTTATTTTGATTCAAGGTGTTGCGTTGCGTCGCGCCACCGCGGCAGTGGCCGCGGTGGCGCGCATCACCGTCTAGCGCTAAAGCCCCCTCCTAATTTAAAAGTAGTGCAAGGTGCGTCTATGCACGAGGCACGTGCCAGGTGTAGCACTTGGGAAGATCAGGGTGGCACAGCGCAGCACTGATCTAGATTTCAGACGCCATGTTCTTCCAAGAGGTGGCGCGCGGCACGTGTCTCGAGCATTTCCACAACAATGGATGGCATCACTTTTCCCAGGCTAGAGCGGCTTTATGTAGCGTCATCGCCCGTCATAGAGGACAGCGTAAAGGACAAAATAATTGATGACAGAATTATTTGTAGAGGCCGAGCCGGCACGTGGGGCCTGGCGCCGAATAGTCGTGCATGCCACTGCGGCATTGTCGTCTTCACCTTCCTGGCAGCATTTGTTTTTACTTTGAGAAGAGCGGTCTCAAAGGAGAGAGGTAAAGGAGATAGATAGTAAGGGAAAAGAAATAGAAGGAATGTGTTGGCATGAATGAGCGCAGCTTGCAAAAATAAGGTCGAATTGCGCCAGACCAAGCAACATCACTACACGAAAATTTACTGTATTCATTCCAAAGGACTATGACATTACACTGCATCAGAAAGGGTTACAGAACTGCGGTATGGTACGAAAATACTTAATTCGGTTTGTAATCAAATTGAATTGAAGTAAAGGAAATAAAGAAATAGCTGATTTATCTCCGCTCCATTAACGCGGTTTATTTCTAAACAAACTCGAGAAAATTTAATTATCAAGTAAATCTCTCGGTTTTATGGCCAGGAGCTATGACACAGGGGGCATACATGCATTATTTCCACTAGTCAACTTATTCGTTCTCCATGAATATAACATTGAATGTTTAGGTTTCAAGAAACTTACTTCTATTGAACATCACATTTTTTTATGTGGATACACCTGTCGTGCTTTATACTTACCCGTACACATTGATTCACATTCTTCTTTTGTTTTGAAAAGGTTTGAATCTCCGGTAACACGGCCACGAAATATGCGTTTGGGTACACAATTGTCAGAGTCTATGTCGTAGTAGTATCTTTTTACCAAACCAAGGAATTTATAATCTGGCTTCTGCACACACCGGTGTTTCACGTCATCTGTGAAATGAAATTTCAAACAATAAAACAATTAAACGTTTCAATAAAGTAGTAAAATATAAGATTGCTTTTTTTTAAATATCAAGGAAGCCGTCGTTTGATGTCTCATTATAAATTGACAGTGCGTGAAGAAAGGAGGTTTCGCAGGCCGATTAAATCCGGGATTTCAGATTGTGTAGATATCACAGAAGGGTGTTGATAACTAACTGGTTTATTTATGCAACTGCCTGCACAGGAAGTTTTATTAAGGATTATTTTCAAGATGCCTATTTATTGATAGGCTAGCCTTCAGAATAATTGCATAATTATATATATATTTTTAAAGTATTTTTATAAACAATAATCAACGTAAATTTTTATTAGAAAGACTCTGTACATCATAGAAAGGTTCTCATTCAGTGAATTTTATGAAGATTTGAAGCGTATTTTTCTTTTTCTAGGTTTCGAAAAGGCATCGATTTCTAACGCGCGGTGTTGTTCATTTGTCTGTTTCGCTCCGCTGGCCTGGCCCCTGTAGCACAGAACGTGACTTTTGCGCACTAACATGCTTTCATCGCACTCCAAATATTTCTCAAAGTTACAAATTAATTTGTTTTCGGTTTCACCCAAGTTTCTTACTAAAACCTATGTTTACATTTGCTCATTCAAAAGATTGCAATGAAAATAAATAACCTTATTTATCTCAAACTTTGTGTGCGGCTTTCCAATTCTTGAATCGTATCAATCGGGAGCGTTAACCGACGGGCCGTTAAGCGTTGTATTATGGACTGGTGTGGTGATATCAACGAAGATTGGTCCTAGAGGTGACATGAACTCGTGATCTGACTTGTTTCGTTTTAAGTACTACGAGAAGTATGGGTTGTTAATAACGTAAACAATGCTCAGCCTCGTATATTAAATTAAATGTTTTAAGGAATTATTTAAAATATTTTTTTTGTCTAAGACCAATACTGGAACACATGATACGAAGTATATTTTTTTACCCTGAGCACAACCAATGCAATGAAAGAAGAAAAATATTTCTGGCTGATAAACAAAATATGCTAGAAAATGTTGTGAAGTCTTCTGTATAGAATACTGACATTATAAGCCTTGAAATCTAACTGCAATAATACTTAAAAAAGAAGTGAGCTGGTGATGTTTCATGGTAATAAAACCCGAGACTCAGAAACACAGAAAGGGTCGAACGTCCCCTTCTGTGTTCGCCCCCTTCTGTGTTCTTGAGTCTCAAGTTTTATTACCTTCATATCTAAATTAGATTTGAAAGGAATATTATTAAACCGAAGGTGATACACGTTCTTTTATGGTGGTTGGATGCACATTATTGAGTTGATAAAGTACGAACTTTTTTATATAAAATGCGTCGAATGTGCTAATTGAGATCAGAACAGGATTGTGCACTTACTTGTACAAGTGTTCCAACATTCCTTCGCATTCGGAAAATTGTTTCCACTATCTTCACATCCAAGAAACCTTTCACACCTTTTAGTCTCCGTGTTGTAACCATACCTGTTTTCAAGCGTACGGCAAGAACTCATATTTTGAATTGGTAGCTTGCATTTATTTTCTACGAATCCTATAATAAAATAGATTCATTAAAATGGCAACAAATTAAAATGTAAATTATTTTGAGGCAAACATGCTATACAATGTTACACAGGAAGAGGGTTCATCTGTGGATGAAACTGAGGTTGATTGTGCCCCATCAGAAAAAGTACTACTACATACCATAACATCCGTTTGCAGTCTCAGGAAGTTTCAAGGGAGCGCCTCGAGATAACATCGAAACATTTCTTATCTTATTTTAAAAGCTATAATAAAAAAGACCTTCAGTGGTCTCCTTTGTACTACTGATTTTTACTCTTTCCTCACCAAACCCAGAGCAGCACATCCTTCATAACGAGGCACCATGCGGAGAACATCTCGGGTGCTTCTTGCCCAGGAGTTGCAGTGACTTCGGAAAGACGCCTAGCTCTGATTGTCTTTGATTGAAAGGATAGTTGGTAGACAAGATTAGATGTCTCAAGCTCTACCCACTTTTTTTTAATCAGCCAAAAAAAGCCCGGCGTTCTGCCTGTAGCCTGCATTTTATGATTCATATGCCGGGACAACCATGCTGGCGCAAGAGCTCGGGCTCGCCGCGCTCGAGCTACGAGCACCAACTGCGAGACCACGGGTGATTATATAAAATGCAGTTTTTATCGTACCAGTCGGTCGGCCAATACTTGTGTCTTTACATGTCATTAGCCGTAAAAACCCTCTATATTGAAAGTAGCGCCAAATTCATCTTTTCCTCTAGAATGTCTCGCTCTTTCCTCCTCTCCGCGAATCTCGCCCTTTCTCATTTCGATGCTAGCGCCTCCTAGGCTGCCCTCCTGCCAATCTCCGCAACAGGTCACTGCTGGCAAACCCTTGCTAGATCGGTGTTTTCTACGAGATTTCGACTCACAGCTTTCATGTTTTCGCTAGGATATGAGCTACGGGTATCCTCGAAGTCTTTGTTACTGGGTAAGTCTTTCCATTACTTCACGTCTGGAGCAGGAACGCGAGTTTTGTCGAGGCTTCGGCTGTGTTCTGCTCGTATCATTCTGTTCGAGATCAGATGCGATCTTCAGCTTTATAAACGTGCATGCAATAAACTTTAAGAGTGAGAAAGACCGACCAAATATTTTAAGCTCTTAGCAGACAGGGGAACTAAGGCGATAAGCAAGAACATGTTTCTGTTATAATAATAATAATAATGTCTTTATTTTTTCATCACATGATGAAGGGTAGGCCGGGGAAAAAAGCTGGGAAAACAGCTTGACGGGTCCCCGACCTCCTACAGTGGCAGAAACATAACAGCTAAACAAACAAACAAAAGCAAAAAGAAACAGCTGTTACAAAAACAACCCTGGCATGACAGATTGCCACAAAAACCGTCCCACTGTGTCGTTATTGTGCATAGTAATTTCGAAGCACATTCAAGAAAGCGAATCCAGTTGAAAGTCACGACTATTAAAGCTGTTAAGTAAATGTGGTAAAGTATATTTTAACATTTGCAGGCCATAGTTAGTTCTGTGAGGTACCATCCTCCGATATTCAGCGTGGCGTGTAGGGTAGGTTACAATGTTTCTAGTTTACCTCGCGAGAGTCGTCAGAAATTGTGAGTTTCGTTTTTGATCTCTTTTAAAACCAGCGGTCAACCTGTGACTGTACAAGTTATGTATGGTTATGACAGCGTATTTTTGTTTAACAAACGAGCAGTATGAAAGTCATGTGGGGCGTTTAAGATAATTCTAACCATTTTCTTTTGAAGCAGGAATATCTTTTTTAAGTTTCCAGCTGTGGTCGTGCCCCAGATAAGGTGGCAGTAGCTGAGATAAGAGAAAAAAAGAGAGTTGTAAATAATCAGTTTGGCGGAAGTTGGTAAGATAGAACGGTTGCGGTTTGCTAATCCGGCAATGCTAGATAATTTAAATATTACATATTGTACATGGTTATCCCATGACATGCTATCAGAAAAGATGACTCCAAGTGTCTTGAAGCTGTTAACGGTTTCAATGGGCATTGTGTTTAAGATAAGGCTATTAGTGCATGATAAAGCCTTATTTTTCGGACGAAAAAGCATGGCTTTCGTTTTATTTGTGTTTATTTGCAATGAATTTGCCTGTGCCCAAGACTCTAGTTTTGATAACGTTATATTTGCATCGGCTACCAGTAAGTTTGGCTCGTCAGCGGAAAAAATATATGCTAGTATTGTCCGCATAAATGACTAGTTTAACCGTTTGATCGATGTTCACTATATCGTTTACATATATATTAAATAGAAAGGGACCTAGTATGCTTCCTTGAGGGACACCTGACGTGATAGTTCTAGTTGCACATAAATAGCCGTTTAGGTATACGTACTGCTGTCGGTGTTTAAATTAAGAGTTAAGCATTAACGGGCCACCTCGAGAACCATAATGTTCGAGTTTCTGTAAGAGTATTTTATGATTTAGGCTATCAAAAGCTTTAGTGAAATCGACGAAAACACCAAGTACTAGCTTTCCATTTTCGAATTGCTCTAGAATATGTTATTTTTGTGCTACGAGGGCCGCTTCAGTTGAAAGATTTTTTCTAAAGCCAAATTGAGCCGAGTTTAATAAACCACACCTGTCAGAAAATTGGCTAAACTGGTGATGCAGCACTTTCTCAAGAACCTTTGAAAAGACTGGAAGTATCAAAATAGGGCGGTAGTTCCTATGTCATCTTACGCAACCTTCTTTTGCAGCACTAACACTTTGGCCAATCGCATCCCTTTTGGAAAAACACTCGTAGCAATAGCAATATTAAAAATATGCGTTAGAAAGGGAGCAATAAGATCTATAACATACTTCCCCGGGCGAATCTGAATATTGTCGACGTCAGTTGAACCACTATTTTTTTAATAGCATTGTTATAGAGATTATTTCCATCGGAACAACTGGGTCTAAAAATATAGAGTTAACATTGCTTTGATCAATGTGTCTGTATGCATTAAGATTGGTTGGAGTGTTGCCAAATTTAATAAAGAATTCATTAAACACATCTGCCAAGAGGCCTCCCGTTAACTTTTCTCCATTTAAAGTCAACTCGTCAACAGAACCTGAGGAGCAATTACGATGTAGCAACGTGTTTAGGTTTTTCCACATGATATCTGAACGCCCCTCAGATGACTTAAACAATGCATTGTAATAGCGCGTCCTCGCACGACGTAATTCTTGTGTCAAATTGTTGCGGTACGCTTTAAATATCCGGAGCTTTTCCGGTTTTCTTTTTTTTAAAAAGCGCTTATATAATAAATCCTTGTGGTTAATTTGACATAAAAGATCTTTTTTTACCCACGATTTTCGCGCATTTTTTGATGCTTTCAAAAGTTTAGACGGGAAGTGAGAATTATATATATTCTTAGATGGATAATGGAAGGTTGCTTTTAATGAATAACCGAGTGGGTTGAGGACTAGGTTCCAACTGATTCGGCCAGCGTGCGCCGTGTGAGTCGATGACGATCACGGTGGTTGTGAATGAAGACGATGACGAAGTATGAACGTCAATCTTCTTAACATTTTCCCCCTCTATATGAAGGAAGGCAGATTGGCGTCATAGGGGTATCACAGAGCTGCGATTGGTGGGTAGTACTTTTTGAGTCTGGCGACGTGAACGGTGTCACGGTAACGATGGCGGTGGTCCACGGGAACCTCAAGAGCTTCTATGACGTAGTTCACTGGGGATGTTTGGGATATCACCCGATAAGATCCGTCATATTTATACAGGAGCTTTTCAGAGAGGCCTACTTGGCGTTGTGGGATCCAGAGCCACACTAAGTCTCCGGGATTAAATCTGTTTGGCTGATGACGAGAATCATAACGGCGCTTTTGTTCAACCTGGGAGTTGGTGGTTCGCAGACGCGCGATTTGCCGGCACTCCTCTGCATAGGAAGCCATTTCTGAAAGTGTCTGATTTTCAGTTGCGTCTGAACGGTATGGTAAGATTGTGTCCAGGGTAACAGAGGCTTCCCTGCCGAACAAGAGGAAAAATGGTGAAAAGTTGGTGGTGGCTTGGATGCTAGTATTGTAGGCGAAGGTTATGAATGGCAGAACCTTGTCCCAATTGGTTTGGTTGGCGTCGGTATACATGGCGAGCATGTCGAGAAGGGTTCTAGTGAGTCTTTCAGTTAACCCGTTTGTCTGGGGATGATATGCAGTGGTTGTAGAATGAATGGTATTGCAAGCTGCGAGAAGTCCTTGAACTAGAGGGGAAAAAAATACCGACCGCGATCGCTGAGCAGTGTGTGTGGTGCGCCATGGCGGAGCAGTATATTGGTTAGAAAGAAGGATGCCACATCTTCTGCGGTCGCAGTTGGGAGGGCGGATGTCTCAGCATATCGGGTGAGATGGTCGATTGCAACTACAACCCAGCGATTTCCAGAAGATGAAGTGTGCAAAGGTCCGATCAGGTCAATTCCAACTCGTTCGAAGGGTCGCGAGGGACAGGGTAAGGGCTGTAATAGTCCAGATGGCGCTTGCGTGGGACGCTTTCGTCTTTGGCACTCAGCGCATGCTTGCACGTAGCGCTGCACGCTTTGATAGAGTCCGGGCCAGAAGTATCGCTGGGAGATTCGAGTGTAGGTTTTTGCGAAGCCGGCATGTCCACATGTTGCGTCTGAATGCATGGAATTCAGTACTTCGCCGCGAAGGTGTTGGGGGATGTAAAGTAACCAACGTTGGCCATGAGGCAGGTAACTGCGTCGGTATACAAGACTGTCCCGTAGACAAAAATGCCGAACTTTTCTTGAAAACGCGCGGTCCGTAGACATTTGAGATCCGTTCAGGTGATTGATAATTTGAGTGATACGGGGATCTGGCGCTTGATCGCGGGCCATATTTGTTAGGCTTAACGATTGAAGACAAAGAGGATCCTCATCAAATAAGGTGTTAGGTGACTCTTCGGGAAGAGGACAACGGGATAAGCCGTCCGCGTCACCATGCTTCTTGCCGGACTTGTAGCGAACTGTGTAGTCGAACTCTTGGAGACGTAGCGTCCACCGTCCAAGACGGCCAGATGGGTCTTTCAGTGACGCTAGCCAACAAAGAGCAAGGTGATCGGTGACCACGACAAAATGGCGGCCGTACAAGTATGGTCTAAATTTCCCGATGGCCCACACGATGGCAAGACCTTCTTTTTCTGTTGTGGAGTAGTTTCTTTCTGCTTTTGTGAGCGTACGACTGGGGTATGCAACGACGTAGCTGGTGTATCCTTCTTTCTTTTGAGTGAGAACAG